GGGGAAATAGAGGCACAGAGCAGCACAGAGAGCTCTGAACAGGAACGCCCGAGGAGTCCACGGCACCACCGCGCACGCTCTGCGGCTCACATCTTTGTCGTCGTCGTGGGAATCTGCACAGCAAAGTGTACATCAGTTCAGTGACACGTTCCCGTCTCGGAGTTGCGCGGCCATCTCACTGTCCTTTTCCAAGTAGTTCCTCCCTGTTGTCCTACCCTCACTGCCCCGAGCTGCCTGTCTAACCTTTCCAGTGGCCACCAGCCACGTCTGTACTTGCTGTACCACGTGTCCACCCATCAACCCGTGTTCTCATTTTTCCCATTTCACAGCAAGTTGCAGCCAACTCTCATGGTCTGAGTCGGGACCAATTCAATGGCAGAGGGCTTGGGGGGTATGCAGACAGCTGATCCATTTTCTGATCATCGGTCATCATCCCAGCCACCGTGGGTGTCACAGAATTATGTGAATGATGTTTCACGAGCACGTGAGCTGAGGCGACGGTCTTGAGCCTGCACCCCACGTGAGGCCAGCTCTGCTTTAACCCAGTGGCGCGCTCTCAGTGCTGGGCGCTTTTGAGACTCGGCACTGTCTAGTCAGCCAGCCGCGGACGGCGCCATGAGCACCTGAGCCCTGTTCTGAAGGACAGTCTAAGCTGGTCTGTTCCTGGAGGTCTAGTGGGTTCTCTTCAACCCGACGAAGCGGGCACCGAATCAGGATGTTTACGCAGCCAGGATGATGGGCTTGGGGGAAGCCGGGTTCGTTTGCATCGAGTTGGCCATGCCTGTGGGGCTTCCGGGGGTTCTGCTCCTCATTTCCTCCAGCCCTCCCTGCCCCCCAAGGCTACTCGGGTAGGAGAGTGGATGGGTGTCCCTGGACTAACCCACGGCTAAGTTTGCCATATTGGTGGCCCACGGCAAAGGCTTCGTGAGTCCCTGGCCTGCCCCTCCTCTCTCTTCCTCTGCCCCTCAGCTCTCTGGTCCCACGGTCAGTCAGCTGCACTTCTCTGAGTCTTAAATAAGTGATTCTGTGGAAAGGGGCTCGTCCCACAGATGGACTCGCAGCCGTCTGGGCTAGGCTTTCAGTGCTGCCAGCAGCGCCACCAGGTGGCAGCCGGCTGAATGCCAAGAGCAATCATCGGCCAGGACGAGCCCCCAGAGCTTGCACTAAGACAGTGCCCAGGATGCGCAGGCCTGTGCTGAGGGCGTGCTTAGCCGGCTCTGATCATCTCATTGTCACCAGGACCGTCTGCCTATGTGGCCACCCGCTCTGGCCACAGGGCTGCCTCTTGGCTCCCTCCCCAAACAGGTGGTTGTTAGTTGGAGTTGAATCGGCTCTGGCTCTGACTCGTGATGAGCCCGCATCCAACAGGACAAGCGCTGCCCGGCCCTGCCCGTCTCCACGGTGGCTGGTGTGCGTGAGTCCGCTCTTGCGGCCCCCGTGTGTGTTGAGGGCCTTCCGGCCCAGGGTGCTCCTCTCCCAGCTCTGCTGGGCAGTGCTCGCCTGTAATCCCGGCTTCCGCTGGCTGCTTAGTGGGAGTGGGTCCCCAGGCCCTTCCTCCCGGTCTGCCGTAGTCTGGAAGCCCCACTGAAACCCGCCCACCGTGGCCTTTGAAATACCGGTGGCATTGCTTCCAGCATCCACACAACATGCAAGCCACTGCACACAGCAAAGCAACAGGAAGGGAAAACCAAACCAACTCCCTGCTGTCCAGGCGGCCCCGACTCATAGCGACCCCTCCTTGGGTCTCCGAGGCGGTATCTCTACGGAAGTAGGTTGCCTTCCGAGGAGTGGCTGGTGAGTTTGAACCGCCAGCCTTCTGGTTAGCAGTCAAGTGCCTTAGGCACTACACCACCAGAGCTCCTGAAAAGTTAGGATATTAACCAGAAAAGCAAGTCAAGTGACAATGGGGGAAACTATATTTGGAGACCACTACCTTCCTGTCAGGAGCTCTGGTAGCATAGTGCCTAAGGCACCTGACTGTTAACCAGAAGGCTGGCGGTTCAAACTCACCAGCCACTCCTCAGAAGGAAGGTTGGGCAATCTGCTTCCGTAATGATACCGCCTCAGAGACCCAAGGAGGGGTTGCTTTGAGTCAGATCTGACTCGACAGCAGTGAGTTTGGTTTTTGTGGGGTTTTTTTTTTTTTACATATTACGATCTTATTTTTCATAAGTACAAGGCTTAGCTATGGAAAATAATCTTGTATTTATCTTTCAAGGAGGGGTTGCTTTGAGTCAGATCTGACTCGACAGCAGTGAGTTTGGTTTTTTTTTTTTTTTTTTTTTTTTTTTTCGGTTTTTTATTTATCCTCGCTTTTCAGATGAGGAAACTGAGGTACAGGGGGATAAACTCCCTCCCGTCCCCAACACACTCTCTTTCGCAAGGCCCCTTGTAGTGATCGAGGAAAGCCTCCCTATCTCAGGGTCCTCGCTTTGACCCATCTGCCATGGGAGGTAACAGTCATAGGTGCCAGGGGTTAGGATGTAGACACCTTTGGGAACCATTACCTACTGACAATATGGGGTGCCCCCAAAAAAAATAAAAATTAAAAAAAAGTTGTTTCTTCCTGATCCTTTCCCCTTGGTGCAGAGCTGAGGCACTGTTCTTTTCGTGAGAGTAAAGAGACTATTAGTTGCCTAAGCGACAAGGTAACACAAGCTGCATGGCTTAAACAGCAGGGATGTATTGGCTCTAGGTTCTGGAGACATTTTCAGTGCCCGGCTCTTGTCGTTGTTGTTAGGTGCCGTTGAGTCAACTCCAACTCACAGTGACCCCATTTAGAACAGAACGAACCACTGCCCGCCCCTGCGCCAGCCCCACAGTCCCTGCTGCACCCGAGCCCATCACTGCAGCCGCTGTGCCAGTCCATCTCGTTGAGGGCCTGCCCCTCTTTGGTTGAGCCTCCACCTTACCAAGCATGGCATCCTTCTCCAGGGAATGACCCCTGTAGACAACATGACCAGAGTAGGTGAGACGAAGTCTGGCTGTACTAGCTTTCAGGGAGCATTCGGGCTCCACTTGTCACTGGATTTAGGGACCCCTGATCCAGGATGATGTCATCTCAACATCCTCAACTAGGGTCACCTTCTGAGCTCCCACATGGCAAGAATTTGAGGGACACTGCTTGTAATAATGGTGGCACCAGGGCACCAGACCTTCAACCATTTTACCAGTTCTAATACCGTCCCTCTCGCTTCACTCTACTTCTCCGTTGGGTTCCATAATTCGTGGCAGTGGCCACGTAGAACTCAGACCATACTCATAGTTATGAGGTTTATTAGGGAAGTGACATTACAGTTCAGAATTAGGAAAGGCTCAGGGTACAGTTGTTCAGTCGGGACAGCTTCTCAGCTGTGCCCACAGCCCCTCGGCTCAGCCTTTGCCCTGCTCACGGAAGGGGCCCAGAGCCCTCTGGCTCCACCAGTAAGTGCCCAGAGGCACCCCACTCCGCCAGCAAGCCTCCTGTCCTGAGGCGCTCAGCCTTCTCACTCTGGGGGCCAGGAAGCCCACTGTACCGTCTCTCTCTGTCTCCTGGGTCTAGGAGGTTCCCAACACAGGGACCCCAGGTCCAAAGGACGTGCTCTGCTCTGTCTGTTCTTGGTGATAGTCAGCTCCCCCTCTGGATGGCTGGTTTGAAACCCAGTGGGACAGCAAAACTGACCAGTCTGATAGTTAGGTTTTGTATACTTTATTTGCATAGTCCCACCCAGTCATTAAGTGGGTATTGTAAGGCCATAGCTAGAAAAGCGACCTGTCACACTGTACTATTCACCCCAGTATAGAAGCCCTGGGATTGCTATGTGACAGTGCTGTGACCTGGGTCCAGACACTGTTAGACATTGAATATGCCTGGACAGTACTGATGGACAGCCAGTTAAGCTCTGTGGCTTAGCCCAGGCAGGGTCCACCAGTAACGTGGGCGGCCCTGGAGTCCTTGCTCGGAAGCCCACGGCTGTGTGGAAAAGGAGCCTGGTGACAAGTGCGCATCTGCAGGGAGGCACAGTGTGTAGGGGGGCAGCTCCAGAAGGTCCCTTCCGATGCGAGCTCAGAGACACTGAGCAGCGAGGACTGGGCCTGTGCCCCCTCTGCTTGGGGGCCGTAGCCGCAGGGGCACCATGCTCGGGAGCTGGCAGGCCACTTCCACCCAGCAGCCTGGTCCCTGGGCTGCAGTAGGCACTTCAGTGCTCACAGCCACAGGAACCCCGGGAGTCACGGCGTTACCCAGGAAGCGCACAGTAGCCCTGAGGGCGGCCACCACCCCCACTTCCTCTTGAGGGGCTGAGGCTCAGAGAGAGGCGCAGGGACTTGTTTGGGGTCATAGAGCAGAGTACCCAGGTGCCCCCACATCCGGGCCTGCTGGCCACACTGTCCACGTCCTCTGGTCAGTAGCAAATCATCAGGCGTTTGGTGGCTTCACTGGCCGCTGATACCTGAGAGGCTGAAGGCCAGAGGGCTGGGGCCGTCGGTCTGTTCCCACTCAGAGCCACCGCCGAGTGAAGCTGCCCCGTTGCGCTCTCCAGGCCGGAGCAGATTGCCAGGCCCTTCTCCCGTGGAGCTACTCAGTCAGCGGCCGACCACTGGCTTGGAACGGGTCTCCTGGACCTACAGTCGAGGTGGCAGCAGGGCTGGGTCCTTCTCGGGCTCAGGGCTGTGGGGGAGCTGTGTCCTGCAGGCAGAGCTCACTTCTTGAGGAGAGGAAGTGCCTGGACTCGGGCTCCTGGGAGTGGTGCCCTTTGGGCTCCTGCTCCCCGGCTTTTCCTCCCCGCAGGCTTGGACGCCCTGTGTGGCAGGGCCTGCGTTAGAGGCCCATCAGGAGAGGAGAGCGGGGTGACAGCATCTGCCAGTAGCCAGCCCCGCCCCGCCCTCCGCGGCCCGAGGTTGCCTGTCCAGAACCGCCCTCTGACCGTGTCGCTTCCTCCGCTTTAGAGCCCCCACGCTTGCAGACGCCAGTGAATTTGCTTTGAGAACCGGAGTAGCTGCCGCCACCGAGAGCCGGAGCCATGAGCGGGTTTAACTTTGGAGGCACGGGGGCCCCCACAGGCGGGTTCACGTTTGGCAGCACGAAGACGGCCACCACCACTCCTGCCACTGGGTTTTCTTTCTCCACCCCTGGCACCGGAGGGTTTAATTTTGGGGCGCCCTCCCAGCCAGTCACCAGCACGCCCTCGACCAGCCTCTTCACACTCACCACCCCAGCGCCCGCCAGTCAGACGCCAGGGTTCAGTTTGGGAGGAGCAACCCCTGCTTCTGGAGGGGCGGGGTTCTCCTTGGGCATAAACACCCCAAAGTTAAACCTGGGCAACCCCGCAGCCCCCCAGGCCACAGTGAACCCCAGCGCCTTTGGGCTGGGCACCAGCACGCTCACCAGTGCCGTACCCAGTGCTGTCACATCAAGCCAGGCAGTGGCACCTGGGGGTTTTGTGTTTGGCTCCTCGACCACATCCACCCCAGCGCCTACCACCTCTGGAGGGTTCTCACTCACTGGTGGGAGCACAGCTCAGGCCAGTACCTCCAGCTTCAACGTGGGCTCAGTGGGGAGTTTGGCGCAGCCCACAGCCCTGGCCGGGTTACCGTTTGCTTCAGCCACGCCAGCGGCCCCTGCAGCTGGAGCCACCCAGCCAGCCGCTCCTGCACCCACAGCCGCCTCCACCAGCACTGGGCCCTCGCTGTTCGCCTCCATCGCCACTGCTCCAGCCTCATCCGCCGCCCCCAGCCTCTCCCTCTGCCCCCCAGCAACCTCAGCCGCAGCCCCTGGTGCTGGGACCCTGGGCTTCAGTTTAAAGCCCCCTGGAACCGCTTCCAGCACGTCTGCTGTGACATCCACCACGGCTGCCACCACCACCACCGCCTTTGCCTTGAATCTGAAGCCACTGGCTCCGGCCGGGCTCCCCAGTAATGTACCCACCACCGGGCCTGGTCTGTCCGGCCCCAGCGCAGCCACAGGGGCCCCCGGCAGCCCCGCGCTGACCTACGCCCAGCTGGAGAGCTTGATCAACAAGTGGAGCCTGGAGCTGGAGGACCAGGAGCGGCACTTCCTGCAGCAGGCCACGCAAGTCAACGCCTGGGACCGCACGCTGATCGAGAACGGTGAGAAGATCACCTCCCTGCACCGCGAGGTGGAGAAGGTGAAGCTGGACCAGAAGCGGCTGGACCAGGAGCTCGACTTCATCCTGTCGCAGCAGAAGGAGCTGGAGGACCTGCTGAGCCCCCTGGAGGAGGCCGCCAAGGAGCAGAGCGGCACCATCTACCTGCAGCACGCCGACGAGGAGCGGGAGAAGACCTACAAGCTGGCCGAGAACATCGACGCGCAGCTCAAGCGCATGGCCCAGGACCTCAAGGACATCATCGAGCACCTGAACACGGCCGGGGGCCCCGCCGACTCCAGCGACCCGCTGCAGCAGATCTGCAAGATCCTCAACGCACACATGGACTCGCTGCAGTGGGTCGACCAGAACTCGGCCCTGCTGCAGCGGCGGGTGGAGGAGGCCAGCAAGGTGTGCGAAGGCCGCCGCAAGGAGCAGGAGCGCAGCTTCCGCATCACCTTCGACTGAAGCTCCTGCGGGCCACGGGGCGGGGCTGGGCATCCAGGCCGGGGGTGACCACAGGCCGACACTCAGTGGTTTACGCTCCTTTCAGGTGATCGTGCTGTCAAATGAACTGTTCTATTTCGACTTTCACCTTAGCAGGTAGACAGCATTGGATGCCTCCTGTCCAGGTAGCCACCCAGTCGCTGTGGGTCCTGGTTGTACCATTTGTTTTTACCCTTAGACCCTCTTCACCTCCTACAGCACCTCCCACCACCTCCTCATTGCTCCAGCCACGTGGTGGCAGGATGCCAATTCACCCCCAAGTCCAGTCCCTGCAGGGTTTGTCAGTGGCCATACCAGTCAATATGTAGTCGTAGGTGCAGTGAGAAAAAGATGCACGTTGAGATCACCTCCCTTCTCAGGTGGTGGCAGCCTGGTCTTAGATGTGAGGTGACACATCGATACGAGGAAGTGAGTGTGGCTGGAACAGACAGTGGGCTGTGGCAATTCAGGAGGAGACCGGGCAGAGGAGGGGCCCGAGCAAGGGACTGAGAAGAGGGTCCAGCTCCAGCAAGAGACCCTTCCTCTGTCTTTGCCGGCAAGCCTGTTGCCTTGGAGGCTTCCCTGAGCCATCACCTCCTCCAGGAAGCCCTCTTGGCATCCTGCAATACCCACAGCACACTGACCTTGCTTCTTGGTAACACTTGCCATGCTGTTTCATGCTGACTGTTGAGTCCTGTCACCCTGTTAGATTGGAGCCCTGTGGGCAGGGACCGCCTCTGTTCACCTTTGTGTCCCTGCACAGTTCCTGTCACGTCTGTCAAATGAATGAACAACAAAGATGCAAGCAGGCCTGACGTGGGCCCACAGAAGTGCCTGCTCCAGTGGCCGCCGTCACCTCCAGAATGTGCCACCAGCAGAGCGGGCCTAGTCAGTCAGTGAGCATCGCAGTGTCTGGGGGAGCCGGGCAGCCAGCGCGCAGCTGCTCTGATCTCCGCCCTCTGCCGCCTTCTCTGAGCTGGCTGACCCTGAGCGCTCTGCTCTCCTCAATAAAATGCGTTTATTGTCAACAAGAAAGCACTCGTGAGCGTGGGTGAGTGTCGGACGGGCTGTGGGTGAGGGAAGAGTAGGTTCCAGGTGACGACAGCAGTGGGATGCCATGTCCCTGTGACTCGGGCAGCACTCAGTTGGACACTGCTCAGGAATAGACGCGGGTGACGGAACCGGGTCCGCTTAGCAAGGGGGAATCGGATGAGTTCCAGACGGTGGCTTCCTCGGTGGGGGGGACGGTAGAAGAGGGATGAGCCCGTCACAGGTGATGTTCTGACTTGGGGGCCGGGCGGTTGGTCCTGGGTGCTTGTTACAGGGCGCTGTCTCGTGCCCAGGGCCTTACTTAGCTCCTGGCCGCTGGCAGTGTGCCAGCATTCCTCCTACCATTACTGCCTGGGGCCAGCAGGAGGGTCGGGTGGTGACTAAGCATTTGTGTCGGGAGGTTTCCAGCTCCCACCCGAAGTCCTGCCTCTGCCCCCCAGCACTCCTGCCTCACAGGCTTGGGCAGTGTGACACACTTGGGCTAGTGAGTGACCAAAACCCAGACCTGGAAGCGTAGGGTCCTTCGCAGGCCATGAGCGGTTACTTCCTTGGATCATCTTGGACTCCCAAGCTCAAGAGTCCTAGCCCCACCCAAGCAGAAGCCGAAGGGGAGGGAGGGAGTGCCTCAAGTAGGAAGACCCCCAGGGTCCCAGCTGCTTGCCTCTCTGAGAGCTCGTTCCTCTATCACTGGCTCTTTTGTGCCGTCCAAGGACCCTGGACCTCATCCGTGACCCATAGCTGACCCCTCTGCTAAAGGGGGGGAGGTCTTGAGCCCCCGGGAAAGTAGTAAGTAAGTTGTGTTTTACCTCTATTCAGCTTGCATTTTCTGAGCACCTGTCTGCCAAGTCCTACCTAGCACTGGGGTAACGAAAACGGAATGTCCACAAGGGGGTCACTGGCAAGGACCACACTGTCAATGATTTTTTAAAAAAAAAAAAGAAATTGAGCTCACGTTTCCAACGTGTATACAAACCAAACTCAACTGCCATCAAGTCGATTCCAACTCAGCAACCCCTGTTGGTTTTCCAAGGCTGTAAATCTTTATGGAGGCAGGCTGCCTCAGTTTTCTTCCAAGGAGCGGCCGGTGGGTTCGCACCACCACCCTTTGGTTAGCAGTCAGATGCCTTAACCACTACACCACCAGAGCTCCTTGGTATATAGATCTAGCCCCACTCTTTGCCCTGGGCGCACCTAATGATTAAGAACTTGGCTCCCAGCTGAAAGGTTAGGAGTCCACTCAGAGGCACCTCAGAAGACAGCCTGGGATCACAGCCACGGACACCCCCGTGAAGCGCGGTTCTGTGGCACTGGGGTAACAGGGTCACCATGAAGCTGAATCGGCTCCTTGGCAGTTGGTCTGGTTCCCTTCCTAGTTTGCCGATTAAACCTCTTAAACCTCAGGACTTACATCAAAAGACTGCAGGTCTGGTATTCTCACACACCATGGGGTCTTGGGCACCCCACTCTGAAGAGTACAAGTAGTTATAATATGGCCGCGAGGGAGGGATAGCCAGGAACCCCGGGTGGAGGTGGAACCTGGAAGGGGTGCCCACTGTTGCCACACAGCCACAGCTGGCTGGGTGTCGCCGTCTCTATCCACCCCCGTCTGCTCGGCAGCTTCGATGTAACTGCAATTTCCCTTTCCAGGAAGGGAGCAGATGTGTGTCCTCGCCTGTCCAGACCAATGGCCTCTGCTTAAGTTCTTCCTAGTCAGTGAACACGAAGACCGCAAATGTGACTAAACTTGGCCTCAGAGGCTTTTAAAGGTGACGCTTACTGCATTTCGCCTCCTTAGGGATAAGAGCAGCAATTGATCTATGATTCCAGCTTGCTTTGAATCTCAAAAAACCTCAAATGACAGACTGCCTTATGAGCAACCCCCTCTCCCCCCAGGATGGTTCCCCTGCCCCAAAGGGCACAGCTGGGTGTCAAAAGGGTCAGGTTTTTGAAACAGACTTCCGGAGCCGGAAAGCAGCCTTGGGCTTCCGGGGTGCTGATCATTGCAGCACTTGCCGGTCTCCGTGGTGTAAGTACCGCACAGCGGCCCACTGCAAGCGACCAATAAAAATCTCTGGCCGGGACTTCTCACGCAGCACGTTCCTTTCAGAGCCCAGAGAGTGAAGTGCTGACAGCAAGCCCCTGGGTGGTGCAAACGGTTAACGTGCTTGGCCGCTGACCAAAAGGTTGAAGGTTCAGGTCCACGCAGAGGCACCTTGGAAGAAAGACTTGACAGTCTGCTTCCAAAAACTCATGCATTGAAAACCCTCTGGGGCCCTCTGGCACACGGGTCACCATCAGTCAGAACATATGCTTGATGGCAACTCAGTTTTTCTTCTGTTTTGTTTAAGGTCTTTGAATTCTTAATGATAGCTTACAAAACAAACAAACAAAAAAAAACCTGACAAAACAATCAGTCGGTTCTCACAAACTGGTGTAAACCAGCACCAGCCCCCCCGAGTTTTCAGACAACCCTGAAATTCTCTGGGTGTTTAAAACTGCCTTCAGACTCTCAGGGCAGGGCTCCCCGGGGGACTTCCAGGGAACAAGCCCCCTACCCCCAGGAGCCACATCTTTCTGGATGTCAGCCAGGCCTGCCTCCAAGCTAGGCTTATGGACCCACTGCCCCATGGGCCTGTCCTACACCACCACACTCCCCAAACCCACATACTACTCACTGACAGCTTCAAACACCAGGGCTCACCTAGACACCCCCCGTTCATCCCATATCACCTCCAGGCACCATCCCTGTTCAACCCTCACGACCACCAAAGAGCTCCTAGTGGGACAATAGGGCCTAGGAGGCTACTCGTCAGGCTTTGGTGCTGTGGGGTTACCTCAGATGCTTAGTGCCAAGACAGATCCCAAACTCACTGACGTGGGAGTCACACTTACTGACAGAGACACTCAAATGTTACTCATGCATTGATCCGCAGCTTTTATTTGAATCTTGATTTGAACCAACTGACCATTTATGAAAAAATGAGACGGGGAAATTTGACCACTGATTTGATATAAAGGATTACATCCACTCTTCACTTACCCAAAGTGATTAGGTTCCAAAGACCAGGCCGTTTTGTGAAAATCAGCATCATGTGGAAACGGAGGACAACCACCATCACATGGCAGCCAAACCACTGAGAACACGGCCCAGCCAAGGTGACAACCTGAACCGTCACAGCCAGCGTGACTGTCCCCTTACACCTCGACGTTGCTGACTGCCAGACGGATGTCATTAATGCACAGAATGGTCGGATAGCAGATGTTTTTACTATGGTCCTAAATACAGAACGTCAGATAAGGAGACAACGGACACGGGGGGCGTAGGTGTACTGTCGCTAGAAAAGTATAGCGGTCTTGTAGTTGATTTTTCAAACCAAAGACCTCACATGGTAGTTTGTCAGCGTCTTAATGGGGACGGGTAAATGAAGGGAGAGGCCAGAAGCCCCCCAGCACAGCTTTCCCTGATCAGATCATGGTGGGATGTTAGACCGGACCTGGTAGGGTGCTAGGGAACCAGGGACACGTGTGCCATCATGTGTGTGACTCCACACACCCCACTTGGCCCTTCTTGGATTTGTATCTGATTTTATTAGGGGCTTTCATTCGAATCCATAGGGGAGCGGGGCAGTGTGCTTTTGTTTCTTGGTCAGGAATTCCATGATCCTGAAAGTCTTATAAGAAGACATAGCCAGGATGGAAGTGGCTGAACTCGACACGATGATGACCCAGAGAGAGCGGTTGATTGACAAATAAGTTCTTGGCTTTTAGAGAAGAAGTGTGCAAACTCCAGCCCAACCTGCTGTTTTTGTAAAATAAAGTTTTATTGGCACACAGCCACGCCCTTTCATTTGCATACAGTCTGGCTGCTTTCCCTCTGAGGGCGGAGTTGGATAGTTGCCCTGGAGACCGTGTATATTTACATCTTGCAGGAAGTTTGCTGACAGCAGCCCCCCAGCCCTGCCTGGTTCTGGAGAAATAGCCTGAAGCCTCTACCGATGGGATGATATGTCCGGGATTTGTAAATCCAGAGGAGGAGGGGCAAAAGTGGATGCCAATGGCCGTGAAACAGAATGGGCAGCGAGCCGAGTGCCCGGGATTCATCGTCCCCGCCTCCGTTTCCAGATGTGTTTGGAATTGTCCATCATAAAACGTTCTTGCAAACACAGTTTTGCTCTGTGAATAAGGAATATTTCCCCGAGCACGGTGCTCTTACGTGAAATATTTGTATGAGTTCAAACAACAGTTGATCTACAGTAGAGATGAGAACTTTAAGGGGCAGAGTGTCTAAGCTAATGGTGATGAACAATATGGGTAGAGACAGTGAGCTTGGTGACACCATGTGAGGCAGGTAGCCAATGTCGCTGAACTGCACATATATAAACAATGTTTGGTTGTGTATATTACCATCAGAAAAGAAAAAAGAAACTTACAAACGGAAGGGGCATCCCTCCACGCCTCCAACTGCTCTGACCTCACCCCAGGGCTTTGGCGCTTCCGGTCTGAAAGAGAATCCATCCAAAGCCACTGCCAGCCACCCGCTTCTGCACCTGCCCGACGATGTCTGTCCCAGGCTAACAGAAAGGCCATGGGCGCTGAGAGAGCACCCCAGAGCCAGCCATGCAGTGAGTGCCCCCACCGGGCCCAAAGGTGTCCCGGAGGCCAGGGGAGGGGGCAGGAGGGCTCTGCAGGAAAGGTCATCAAAGATCAGGGGCCCAGGTAAGTCTGCCTTCAGTGCTAAGTGCAGCCCCACCCCTCGGCCTGGACCCTGTGATGTCCAACTGGTAACTGCCCCTTAATACTGACCTTCAGGGTCTTTGGAGAGGAGAATATGTGTGTCTATATATGTACATAGGAGCTCTGGTAGTGTAGCGCCTAAGGCACTTGACTGCTAACCACAAGGCTGGTAGTTCAAACCCACCAGCCACTCCTCGGAAAGAAGGTTGGGCAATCTACTTCCGTAGAGATACTGCCTCGGAAACCCAAGGAGGGGTCGCTATGAGTCGGGTCCGACTCTGTGGCAGTGGGTGTGGCTTATATGTGTACGTATATAGGATGTCACGGTGGTGGTGCAGTGCTTAAGCACTCAGCTCCTCACCCAAAGGTCAGAGGTTTGAATTCACTCAGACCTGGTGGTCCGCTCCCGTAATGATTACAGCCTAGGAAAGGTACGGGGCAGCTCTCCTCTGTCGCGAGGGGCCACCATGAGTCTGAATTGACTTGATGGCACCCAACAACATGACTAGCCCAGGCCCAACCAGCACGTCCCTGTGGAGCCAGCTGCCCCGATGGGCTCACAGAAGCCCCCGTGATCCCTGACTCGGCATGGCCCACCCAGGACCGTCACTGGCCGACCCCCAAACCAAACCACTTAACCTGAGAAGCAAACCAGATGGTAGGGTTTTCCCTCCAAAAGAGATCGTTTTGATATGGAAGGATTTTAATGTAAGTTTTTCCCCAGAAACTCCCATCATAAAGTCAGAATAGCCCAGTCATTAACCAAAGCAAGTATTTATGTGATTTGGGGAAAGCCCAGGCGGCCTTTCCGCACTCTGCTCCCACCCCCGCCCAGTCCCCCTGTCCCTGTCCCTCCGCGCCTGCCGCAGCCCACCTCACGGCGTCCTCACCCCTCTCTCACACGCACAAACTAACCGAATCCGCCGTGACGGCCAGTGAGCGCTGCTCGATGCGAGCCACCGAGGACCGCGGGCCA